CCCCCCCCCCCCCCCCCCCCCCACAACCCCCCAAGGGATGAGATAAAACTGCTTACTTTAATATGATCTTTCGTGTCCTCCTTATTTCGAATTTTCCCAGTGACCCCATTCTGTTCTCTCTTTTCTCTCTCTCTCTCTCTCTCTCTCTCTCTCTCTCTCTCTCCTTTTTTTTTTTCTTTATATAAAAAAAAGGGTCCTAGGCAATCAACAGTTCATTTTGAAAACTGCCCGGCCCCTCAAGATTCGTTTTCTCCTTTTGTTGATAATAACTTTTTTGGTTAGTTTCATACTTTTCAACCAGCTTATATAAAGCTTCATCTATCAGTGGGTACTTTCATCCATATTACTCTTTAAATTGCAATTTTTTGGAGCAAGAACCTTGTAAACAGCAATTTTATCCATTTCGGTCTCCTACAAATTCAGCGAACATCTTTATGCCAAATACCATGAGCAGTAAGCAGCAGAGTTATATTGTAATGGTCTAGTTAATCTCTTGTATGGTACTTCTTTTGCACGAGTGTTATAATTTGCATTTGTATTTGCTATACATGTAGACGTGGCTGATGTGAAGAGAGTGATTAGAGCGCGATATACACTAAAGAAGAAGTTTTTTTTCTAGGAAACTGGATGAACAAGGTAAATAAATGGGAAATAATGGAATGTCATTTCTCTATTACAATTGCTGTGACATAAGGGTAAGGAGGCTCTTCAGCCTGTTATATAACGAAACATCTTGAACATATACTTTCTACTTCTTGTGGTTGATCAGAACATCAACCACATAGCTTTACTATTAATGAAAGTTTTTTCTCCATCTCCTTCTTTTTCAATATTATTTATTGAGCTGCAAGAGCAACATTCCTATTTGTATTATCCATACGCCATAAATCTTTACTTCGTAATCGTTCGAGGAATTTACAGCACTATTTTGATCTGAAATTAACAAAGATTAGTAAATAGAAATAATGGTGTGAAATAAATGAATAAACAAGTGAATAAATAAATAATTATAAATAAAATAATCTTTTAAAGGCTACAAATAAATAGGTGATATTTTTTTTGTTATGACCATGTTAATGTAACTCTGTACATATCTTACGTTTGATTTGTTTTTGTTTTTAGTAGAGACTCCACTTTACATATTGGAAACCTTCTAGTCTGCTTGATTCTTTCATCTTTTATATTACCGGTAATAATTATTTCTATATTCGCGCACAGTTATTAGCATTAATGACTAAATTACTGTTATTTACTAATTTTTGCTATTGTAAAAATGGCATAAAGTTTCGTTAGTTGCAGTTGCAGGGGAGGCCTCAATTAAAGGATAATATCTGTAAAAGAAACAAACTAAATTTCAAGTTGATATGTTCATACCATTTGCTTCATCCTCCAAACACCATAGCGCAATATCACAACACGGACCTTTAAATCATTTTGGGAATTCAACGTCAATACATTTTAGGCTGCTAGAATCTGCTAAATCTCTCAGAAAGAAAAACCACAATCACCTTCGGATTTCCAGTTTCACGTTTGCTTCGCAAGTGTGGTATTTCTCCGTCTTTTCACCTGGCTCAAGGTTTCCTCTTGACCTTTTCTTGAATTAAGGCACACGTTTATTCAAACCCGCTGGCGATTAGAACTTAATTTTATGATTTCTCAGGGTGTGGCCAGTGACAAAGTAATTGTTATATCAGCTGATTGAATTCTCGGAGTTTTTAAACGTTTCTTCTCGCCTTCTCGGCAGCTACAACAAAAGACGACGATTACGATCGAGAATGATACTGTAGCAGGCGATGTACTGCTTTGGTAGCGCGGAAACTTAAACGACTCTTTCGGATCGATCGGGAATGGTCGCATTTGTTCTGCTTTTTTTCGTAAAGCGCGCCAGTAAAATTGCCGCCATTCGGGCCGGAAGTAAAATGAAATGCGTGGTGCCTTGAATTTTCATTTTTGCTACGCATTCAGTTTTTGATAGCCAATGAAAGAAATCGAATGTCTTAGTGCGTCCATAGCTACTCGTTGACAACATTATAAGACAAGTAGCACTGGGGACAAGAAAGCCTTCCCCCAAGNCCAACCACCCCGTCAACTTCACCCAAAAAAAAAAAATCAGGGAAAACCGGAAAACCATTATGGAAGTACTTTTGGAAGCGCGCGCTAGCTAGTGACCAAGGATTAATTCCCAAAGCACTTCACATGTCAGCCCCAAAATGTTGTGAATTGTATTTCTTGTCGGCGCTAGCCCATCTGCCTGTACATCTGAACGACAAGAAGGTGGTTAGGAAAACGTTTTAAAGAGCATCTGCGTGGTATTTGAAACATATTTCATGAGTTTCCCGTAGCCGCACATTTCTGGACGACTTCGCGATCCTGGCCTGAAATATGCACTGTCAGCAACATCAGCCGCAAGTAGCATGAAATGAAACTAATCTTGAAAGCTAGACACTTTAAAACCCCGTCCACACACCGCGCCGGAGGAATTTGAAAGCGTAGTTCTATTTCGCCGGTTAAACCTTTCGTCCACACTAATCCGTAACAAAAACTGAGCTTTTCAAAATTGCACTTAAAACCCTTTTCAGAATGAAACCTCCGTTTTGAAATTTCTCTGCGTAGTATGAAAGGGGCCTAAGATTAAGCGGACTGAACTATGTCTGATATAAATCCACGAGCTAAAACTACGTTTTTGTTTATATATGCGTAGCTCACTCACTGCATGGCGTTGTTCACTGATTTCAACATATTGAAAAAAAGTCCAGCCCTGAAAAGTTCACACGAGCTACTCTCTCTTTCTCTCTCTTCTGCAGCCTTGGTTTTAACCCCTAATAAAGTTAGGTCTGCATGGGAATGATGAATTCAAGGGACTGGCCTAGGGATAGGAGGTATGAGAGGAACGGAAGGTGGAGTTCACTCAGTCTTCTTACAAGACATTCGCAAATTAAAGTTCTTTGTGTATTATATGGTCATGCATACACCGCTGTTCTTTCAAATTGTTAATATCTGTCAGCAAAATAACAGGCCCATTGATATTTGCCGCATAAATATCTAAATTATCCCAAAACACAACCTTTTTCAGAAAAAAAAAGTCCTCGGAAACAATTTATGATGGAAAATGAAAACACCACTTCACTTCGAGTAGATGGATCCGGCTAAGACGAACCATTCAAATTTGTTTCAGAGCTTCGCGTTTAGTGTTAAGTTTTCGCTTAATTAGTTTCCTTTGTTTTGTGGCCTTTTGTACATATTATGTTCTTTTGCATACTCTATATATTTCGCGCGTAATTTATTTAGTTAGTAGCGGTTTGAGTTTCTGTCTACGCCTTGTTTGGAATTGCTCCAGTTTTCAGTTCGTCTTTAGTTTTGGGGCTCGTCACATTCGTCTTTTACCGTGTTCATTCTTCGTATTAAGTGGAATTAAATTAAGCTATTGCAAGATCTGGATGCCTGTGATTAGCGTGTGCGACAACAGTTCTCTCAGAACATTGTACAAAACCATATTCAGTTCTCCATGATTAGCTGTTAATGGACCTCTCTACGAGGGTCTCAAATGGGTTAACCGTTAGCCGTAAAACGGGCCCACAAGTTTGCCGTTAGGCGTAAAAATTGAAAACTTTTAACCGTTAGCCGTAAAGAAGAAAATTAGCCATGAAAGAATTTTACCCACGAAACTTTTTTTTAACTGTTTTTAACTTTTTAAAACAATGGTAATTACTTTCTAAGATTCCTCTTAACCGCAAAGAAAAGAAAGTAACCTCTATTCGTAAACAAAGCCAAAATATTAATCGTTAGCAGGAGAAGATCGAGTAAGACTACCTTGATCTTTTCTTGGCCTTAGCCGTAAAATGCCACCACCCCTTGAGACCCTCTTATCGATAACACGCAACATCAACACTTTTTGTATTTCTCACGATAAACAAAAAACAACCTCCATAGATCCATAGATCATGCTGAATCTAGTAAATACACGAAATTTCATAGGAATCAGCTGCAAACTCAGAAAAATATGGGACCACAAACTTGCTAACTTATTCAAAGAAATGTATGCCCCCTCCCCTGGCATCGAGCGGTGCTGCTTATTTCTTGTTTGAATGTGACAAAAAGGGAAAAGCGTGATATCTGCAAAAAGGTTCTTTTAAGTTTAACTTTCAGGCAAACTTGTGAAAATGGATTTATTTAAAGCAAAATTTTAAAATGCCATTGAAATTAGTCTTTTTTTGTAAGGAATTAGCTTGTTTCTTCGCAGTAGTGAATATCAATCTCGTTTTTTTTTTTTTTTTTTGCTTGTTTGCAAGACCAAAATTTCGCCAATTTCCTCAGTATAGACTTCAACTTACGACAGTAACATCTTTGTTTTGGTCGGGTTTTTCTTTTTTCGCATGTCTTTCTGAGAAGCTTGTTAATTCATGGCAGTTCAAATAAAGAAACTAAATACCTAGCAGTGCTTCTGCAATTGATCTTTTTTCAATCCTCAGGAGAGCATCTTGAAAACTCTTTACGGTAGCAGCCTTTCCTTCTTTTTGCTTCCAGAGACGAATTATTTCCCTGGCTTTCTCGCGGCACTGGCTTTTTTCTGTATCTACATTACGCAGAACTGCCAATTTCAGGCCCAGCTCTAAACCCAGATCCTCCCAGCATGTTCCTACATCGTCACATATTTTCCTCACGAGCTTGTCATTGACAACTGCTTGGGTAGCATCATCTGCGAGTAACGTTATACATATTAGATAAACATATCTCAGTTTTTTGTTATATTTGGTACTGGCCTAAGATCAGTTCCATGTGATTCCATGTGTAACTGGTGTGTCTAGCTAGTGGATAAAAATGTCAATAAATTTCCAGTTAACTCAAACATTACTATAGAATCATTAGGTGGGGAAATCTATGGGAACCTAAATTGAACCCAAAAACAAGTTTTACTTTTCTCCGCTTAAGTTTGAATATTGGTTATGAATCTGAAGCCTCTTCAGTTACACACCATGTAAATTCTTGGAAAGGCTGCTTTTGCACTGAAGACTATTAGCGACGTTTGATCGACTCAAACCAATCTAATGTGAACGTGCTGACTTCTCCTTGTCTGTAAAAAAGATGGGAATTCATGCCATGTTTAATGGCGTTTATGTCTGGCTAATATTTCTCCTTTAAAGTAGACCTTTTACCACGAGAAGCTCATCCCCGATAGGCTAGTATAGCCAGTATAAGTTTTGTCTGCAGTTTCGTCTTCAGGATATTCATCCTTACTTCAGAAATTGACAAGGCGGAAACCAGACTGTGCAAATTCCATTTCCTGATCTTGGAGGAGGACGAGGACGAGGACGAGGACGAGGAGGAGGAGGAGAAGGGGGAGGAGGAGGAGGAGGAGGAGATGAAGGAAGGGGGTAAGTGTGCACGAGATAACAAGTCAACGATACAAAATCTGGTGCCTAGAACGTAGTGTAACGTCAATTTGCATCACAGTAGCCTTGAATGCATTAGCTGGATTCTTTGGGGTACATTTTGGAGTAACTTTTGGATTACAGACTCCAGCGGTTCATGGTCACTCTCTAGTCTATACCTCAATTTCGATCTCTTCCTTAAATTGTGAGAAATCAAATAATTACGGTTTGTAACTGAAGAGCAAAATGTAATTCATGCTTCAGTTTTCCAAACTTTTCCTTGCTTTGAAATTGCACCAACCCATTCACTCCAGAAATGATGCCTGTTAGCCTCAATGCTATATATTTTGAATTCGTCAAGAGCTCGAGGGTAGTTTGATAATTTTTTGTGCATTCGCTCAGACGTTACCTTTCCCTTTTTCTCTTCTTTTGCTAGAGGAATTCACTTTTTCTGGTGGTTTTTATTTTTGTGACAGTTCCTATTTTTCTGAAATTTAAGCCCAGTTTGGTCGAGTTTGGGCGGGGGGTGGGAGAGATGGGGGCTAAGAAGTCAACCCGGCTTCCTTTAAAAATGAAAAACAGTTGACAATAAGTTCTTCGAGAAGCCTTTTGCAGCAATTATACTCATGTGCAAACGAATGCCCTTGACTGTTTAAAGTCCCTTGTTTTGGAGTTTGTGCATTCTTCTGCTTTCCAGCATAACAGATTTTGCACCATGTAACCAGTCCATGCAAAAGACCAGCTCCCTTCATAGGCGGAAATTTTAGCCCGGGAAATTTATTGGCCATGTATTAAGTCCGTTATGTAACGTTGCGAATACAATACATTTCAGTATATAAATTATATTTGTAAATTCACATCCAATATTACTTTACTGACCTTCAGTACTTGTCGACATATTTATGATTTCTTCGCCTTCCTCCCTTAGTTTCTAATCTAAAATCAAAAGAACAACACAAAACCACTGCTACGCTGCCTTTAGTTACTAAGCATAAACTCAGTTTTAAGCTTCTTACTTTTTCACGAAAATTAAGAAATAAACTCTACAGTAGATTTCTATCTTTTAGTGTTGTGTTAGCTGACTTTTTGCAATTTTGCTCTATTTTATTGTAGTTTTTATTGCTTTGAGTTGTATTTTTCAATTGCATTTTAAAGTATTTTTTTCATAAATCATCATCAATCATCAATCATAGATTATTAACACCGAAAAGCCTCATTGGAGAGTGTTTATAAAATTTACATATTGGGTCTGACAAAATCTCCAGTGTTCCGCAAATGCTTTGACTTGTCCAACATTGTGCCTAATCCCGACAAAAACCCCTGAAAATTCATTGAAAACAAAACTGATTCTTTGGTTTATCTTTAAGAAATTCAGACTGACAGAGGCAGAGGCATACAGGCTCTAAAGCATTCATATTCAAATTGTTAAGCTGACTTTCTAAAATGAACACCGCCGCTGGCTAGCAACTTCCGCGTCGAATGAGGCGCCATAAACTAAGGCACGTGTATTCCATAGGAAGGATCCGTCGATTTTGCCTCGACAGAATTGAGTGAAAACATACCCACTATAATTCAAGTTGTGATAATTTACATCAATCTAGAACTCAGATATGTCAACTAATCTAAATTACGTGGAATATAGTCAAGCTAGTTCTTTTAAACAAACGTCAAAACAAGCGATGAAATTCCTGTAAGGAAATGTCTCAAACGTTGTGCAACAAAGCTTGCCATAAATTCGGGTCAGGACTCAAAATTTTAGTCGATTAACTGAATAGAAATTACATTTGGCGACTACAACGCCGCTCCACGTTTGATTTCTAATCACGTATAGCTAACCATGGCGATTCTGATAAAGAATATTGAAAAAGAGCGACCTTCCGAGAATTAAGCAAATGTATTCACAAGATTAAACTGAAAACTTACAAAAAGCCAAATAATTCTTCGGTTGACCTTAGAAAATAAACATCACCACTGGCTAGCAACTTCCGCTTGGAATGAGGCATAAACAAGGCACGCGTACGTATTTCCATATATAAGAGATCGAGATCAACCCTACTAAGCTATTATTTTTAAACTTTTTAAAATACCAAACGGAAACTTCAGTATATATGTCCTCGATCACGCATCATTCAGTCATTTCAAAGTATACTGAAACTGACTGAAACTCTTACTCTATAAACCTATTAATCATACACCTTTTTAATCTATAAAACGCTTAGCTCTGCCCAAATTTGATGCTTCGTTTCGAAAATAACGCAATTTGAAAATTATAATGTTTACCTTGGTAAATAGCCCTTCAGAAATCGCTATTACGTTGCAGATTTATTAACCTGATCAAACTGACTTAAACTTAAAGACTGGACCACAGCAGGTTATACTGAATATTTTGTTGGGAAAAAGTGGCTAGTCAGTTGCTATGAAGCTCTCTAGAACCTCTAAATTCATTGGATCTTGTTAGCACGAAGCTCTATTGTTTAAGGGCCAGGGTCCATTGTTACTATTGTTTATATATCATTTTCTCAGCCAATCCTGTGAGACGTTCCGAAGAGTTTCGTGGCGACCCTAGCTAGTATCTCGCATTGAAAGCCAGATTAATCGCCAAACTTCTCATTAGTCGATCTATGCGACTTATGCGGAGTTGTAGATGAGATTGATCTTTTGAGTTACATAAATTTGTTTTAGTTATCTGTACTGCTACAACAGATGCCTCTAGCTACATGCATGACAACAAACAATCGACTCCCCGCAAATTTACGGGTCAACACGATTTTCATTTCTCACTGTCTGTTTCGACTTAATGAAAAATCAGTAGACGTTGTCCTAAGGACATGAAATTCTATGTAAACGAACAAAAACCTCAAATAAAACAAATGAAGTGACATTATTTTCATGTATACTTAACTGGAGAGAACGTCTTCAACGTTGCATTTTGGGCAACAAAGTTTGTCACAAATTCGTGTACATTTGATAACTGATTTAGAGTATTAGTCTCCGTCACGATCAGAAACTGATTTATTTAACACTGTCAATGCATGAATAGCTAACCATGGAACAATGAAACTTATCATTTTAGTCGATAAATTACGTTTGGCTACTAAACCTTTCCATTTTTGACATTTAATCCCTTTTAGCGAATCGTGTCATTCTGACAATGTGGATTGAGCTAGCGACCGTGCCGAGAAGGGCCTTCCGATAATTCCCACGCTAAACTGAAAATTCACTGAAAACCAAACTGATTCTTCGGTTTATTTTTAAGATATTCAGAACAGTAGCATACAGGCTCTAAATCATACATTAAATACAAATTGTTAAGCTGACCTTATAAAATAAACACGATTGTTGCCTAGCGACTTCCGCGTCCAATGAGGTATAAACTAAGGCAGGCATATTTCACATGAAAGATCAGTCGAGTTTACCTCGACAGAATTCAGAGCAAACAACCGACTATGGCTCGAGTTGTATAAATTTACATCCATCTGAAACTCATATATGTCTGACTGATCTAACTTACGTGGAATGCAGTCAAAACAAGCGATGAAATTCCTGTGAGAAAACGTTTTAAACGTTGTGCCGAAAGTTTGCCATTAATTTGTGTTCAATATTAAATCAGTCCTATGCATGCTTGGGTCGGTAATGAACACTGTCACTAATGTCTGAAAAATCAACTGTGTCACACCAAAATAACTTATCGTTTGGTCTGACTAGCCATTACGTTTAGGGACTCAAACGTTCCGCGTTTGATACGTAATCACTTTTGGAGAATCGTGCCAATTCTAACAAAGTACACTGAACAAGCGAGTATTTCGCTTTCCGAGAATTCCGCCACTGTGGCTTAAGCTGGAAATTCACTAAACACTAACCTGATTATTTGGTTTACATATAAGTTATCGAGAACAGCAGTATACACGCCCTAAAGCATACTTACAGTATATTTTCTTAAGCTGACCTTATAAACACCGCCACTGACTAGTGAGCCTCCGCAATTTTCGATCACAAGTATGCGACTGTTGGTTCAATGAGGTATAAACTAATACACGCCTAATTAATATCATATGAGATGAATCGAGATTAGTTGAGTCTACCTCGACCGAAACCAGTGAAAACAGGCGACTTCAATCCAAGTTGTGGCAATTTGCTTCAATCTGTAACTCAGGTATGCAAATTTACGCCATGTCTCATCAAGCGAGTCAAAATGTCGTTTGTTCTGTAACGAAAGCTTTATTGGGCGGGTCGAGGTCTCCTATGTCATGCAAAAGAATGCTGGCGAACAATAATTCAGCCTTGATCTAATAGCTCATACTCAGTGTGATATTATGTATCTCACGCTGAAATCTACGAATAAAGTTCATAAATGTTATGTCGTTACAAAAGAGCTGCAGGTATTGTAATCAAACCATCAGACGGGAGAGTACAAGAACTGTGACCCACTGGCAGGTCATTAGAAAAAGAGCTTTTGTTCACTTACTTGATCATGTTACTCTCGACAAGGTCTCTTTATTTTCATTCCTTCTACGTAGCTGTAACGTCCTTTCTGCTCTTTATTATTCACTCAGGGTAGGATCAACATTTCAACTCGCTCCTCGTTTCCTTACAAATCCTTTTATCTAACGCTATCCCTTGGTACTTAACCAAATATGGTAAGACACTACACTACTTAAGTTTTCATTTTATTTACTGAAACTGAACGATTAGTCCATGAAAAGCTCTTCTAAACTGCTTGCATTTGCGAGGTCATGCATCGGCACTTTTCAACAATCTTGGGAGAGAAACCCTAAACAAGAAACACTTTCCAAACCTGACGCATTAATAGTAGACGGTTGATATTATTCGCCGGTCGATATTGGTCAACTGAAGGTATGTAATTTTACGGTATTGCTGTTTTGATAGGTTCCGTTTTGAGACGGAAATCGGCACTTGATTCTTTCAGGAAAGATAAGATTAGCCCCTGAAGTGAACATTGGAAATCAGTGATTTCAGAACTGACTTCTTTTCTAGGATCCAAAAGAACAAATTGAGACGAAGCTCCGTATTGAAGTTTCAAGTGGAAAAAAAATTATATGCGCCATGTGTCCTTGCAACAGGCAAATTAAACCAAGACAATTTGAAAAGAGGCACTTCCCGATTCCGCTAAAAGAAATAACACCGATCATCTTGTTGCCCTTTGTTCTGTCCTCAGCACCCATCTCTACTCATTCTATTCTTTCTCTTCATTTCTTACCAAAAAGTGTTGTCTGCGTAGGAGCCAAAAGTAGCCTCTATTGGAAGTCTACGGTCTAGAAGAAAATTAACCATTCACAGACGACGATGGAAAGTTGTTAGCTGGACGAGGGTTCGGGCAATTAGGTCATTCTTTGGCAGACAACAACTGCTTGCAAAAGAATCATTTAAGAAAGGGTGAATTTTAAGCAAGCGTTAACGTTCCTTCGTTTTATTTCCTTTAAGACCTTATCACAGACACAGACAGTTAAGTATAACATACTGCAGCACTGAGCATGCGTGAGGCAATTCTTGAGTCAAGTTCAAGTTTGCAACAAGTTTTTTTAATGAAAGTGAAGTTCCGGTCTCCTGGATTTCAAGTGCTATCATGGTTGTTTTGTAGTTGTTCCCATGGTAACTATCAACGCGAATCTCCGATTGCTTTGATTTTTAAGAGGTAACTTGACAACTTCGTCCCCTTCGTTCAGTTATCCCAGACGACTGTGGTTTGTGGCTGGCTACAAATTATTGTTCATTCATTAATCTAAGTCACGCGTTTTTCAAGGTCACTTGAGTTCCATCAGTCTGGAACTCACAAATGTCAACTCATCGTGCCCAATCATAATAACGTCAAGGTTAGTCAAACCAGTTCTCTTCATATTGTTGACAAAGGTGAAAACAAACGATAAATAACGCAACTAATTTAAAATGTATATCCAAAAAATGTTCAAAGTTCTACCCATATTTTGCCTAATTTTCCAACATCTTCCCTTAATCCCAATGTGTGGCCTCGTTCTCAAATCATACAGTGAATATAAAATATAAAATACAAAATTCTCAATTTTGACTGAAACCGTTAACCCTACAAAACCATTATTTATACGCTTTTGAGATCTACAAAACGCATACCTCTATGTAAATTCAATGCTTCGCTTCGGAAATAGGCGCGTTGAAAGTTATGCCCGGATGAACGCGTTTACCGTGGTAAATAGGCCTTCAGAAATCGTTAAATCCGAAATCCTTTCGTGGAGAAAATTTATTAACAAATCAATTTAATTAATTTAAAAGAATGGAGATGGTTATATCGGAATTGTCGGTGGGAGAAAGTTGGCTAGTATCTCGTATTGAAGAACTGAGCCAATATCAATCGCCAAACTTGTCATGAGCCGATCTGTTGGGGACTTCGTAGAATTGGTTCTGCATGGCCTTTTGAGTTGGACAGACTTGATTTCCGAAGAAACCAGATATATTCGCCACAGCTCCATTGTGCCGTGAGCCGTCTTTGGGTTATATGAAGGGAGTTATTAAAACCTGATCACGTGATTTATCTGTTCTGCTACAACAGATGCCTCTACATGCATGACGACAAACTATCGACTCAGCCCACAAATTTACGGGTCAACACGATTTCGTTTCTCACTGTTTGTTTCGACTTAATGCAAAATCGGTATACGTTATCTTAAGTACATGAAATCACTGAAAACGAACAAAAACGTCAAATGCAGCAAATGAAATGACATTCTTTTCGTGTATACTTAACTGGAGAGAACGTCTCAAATGTTGGGCAACAAAGTTTGTCACAAATTCGTGTACATTTGATATCTTGGTATTAGCCTCGGTCATGATCGCACACCTATTTATTTAACACTGTCAATGCCTGAAGAGCTAACCATGGAACAATGTGACTCATCATTTTAGTCGACAAACTTAATACACATAAGGATTGCCTTCTAAATGGTGCCATCATTGACATCTAATAACTTTTCGTCAATGGTGTGTGCCATTCTGACAAAGTACATTGAAAAAGCGACCTTCCGAGAATTTTCAAGCTAAAATGAAAATTCGCCAAAAACCAAACTGATACTTTGGTTTGTCTTTAAGATATCTAAAACAATAACATACAGGCTCTTAATCATACATTACATACACTGTTAAGCTGACGTTGCAAAATAAACACCGCCACTGGCTAGCAACTTCCGCGTCGAAAAAGATGTAAACTAAGGCACGCGTATCAATTTCCATATGAATTTTTCTCGACAGCACTAAATGAAAACAACCGATTATAGTCCAAGTTGTGATAATTTACATCAATCTGGAACTAATCTAAATTATGTGGAATATAGTCAAGCGATTTCTTTTATACAAACGTCAAAACAAGCGATGAAATTCCTGTAAGCAAATGTCTCAGACGTTGCGCAATAGAGCTTGCCATAAATTCGGTTCAGCACTTGAAAATCTGATTTTAGTCGATTAACTGAATAGACATTACGTTTGACGACTACAATGCCGTCCCACGTTTGATTTCTAATCACTTATAGCTAACCATGCCGATTCTGATAAAGTATATTGAACAAGAGACACCGAGAATTCCGCCACTGTATTCACAAGATTAAACTGAGAACTTAGTGAAGACCCAACTAATTCATCGGTTGACCTTGGAAAATAAACATCACCACTAGGTCAGCAAATTCCGCTTCGAATGAGTGCATTAACTAAGGCATGCGTATTTCTACATATAAGAAATCGAGATCAACTTTACTAAGCTATTATTTTTTTAACTTTTTAATACAGCAAACGGAAACCTCAATATATATGTTCTCGATAGCGCATCATTCAGTGATTCGAAAGTATAATTTGATGGCTTCCATGAGACGTCATCAAAAATCTTAAATTTAACTGAAACTGGTAACCTACAAAGGTATTATTTGCACACTTTTTAGATCTACAAAACGCAAACCTCTGCGCAAATTCGATGCTTCGTTTCGAAAATAACGCACGTTGAAAGTTATAATGAAAGGAATGTGTGTACCTTCAAGTTGGTAAATAGGCCTTCAGAAATCGCCGAATCGGAATTTCCTTTACCGTGCAGATTTATTAGACTAATCAAACTGACTTCATATAAAAACCGGACCAAATATTAGTCGATCTATGCGACTTATGCGGAGTTGTCGAAGAAATTGACCTTTTCAGTTACACAGAATTGACTTCGGAAGAACCACAGCTCGATTATGCATAGCTCATTGTGCCGTGAGCGGTCCTTAGGCAATATGAAGTGAAAATCTGATACATGATTTATCTTCTGTGCTACAGTAGATGCCTATACATGAAACGAACTATCGACTCACCCCGCAAATTAACGGCTCAACTCGATTTCCATTTCTCACTGTCTGTTTCAACGTAATGCAAAATCAGTAGACCTTGTCTTTTGAACATGAAATTCGATGTAAACAAACAAAAACGTCAAACTTTGTCAAAAAATACTTTGTAGGAAAATGCCTCAAACCTTGGTCAACAAAGTTTGTCACAAATTCGCATACATTTGACATCTGATTTAGAGTATTAGTCTTGGTCATGAACAAAAACCGATTATTTAACACTGTCAGTGTCTCAAAAGTTAGCCATATGGCAACAATGAAACTCATAATTTTAGCCGTAAACTGAATACACCTTACCTTTGACAACTAAACCGTCTGGTGCCATTCTCAGAGACAAAGTACATTGAACAAGCCGCCTTCCGATAATTCACGGGCTAAACTGCAAATTCAATGAAACTGATTCTTCGGTTTATCTTTAAGATATTCGTTAAATACCAGTTGCTAAGCTGACCGTATAAAATAAATACCACCGCTGGCTAGCAACTTTTGCGTCGAGTGAGGAATAAACTAAAGCATGCATATTTTCCGTTGAGTTTAACTCGACAGAACAGCGCAAACAACCGACTATAGTTCAAATTGAGAAAATTTACACCAATCTGGACCTCAGATATGTCTTACTAATCTAAATGACGCCTAACATAGTCAAAACAAGCGATGAAATTCCTGTAAGAAAACGTTTCATGCAAACGTTGCGCAATAAGTTTGCCACAAATTCCTTTACAATTTCAATCTGATTTAAAACAGTTATATTTGGCTCAGTGATGATCACAAACTGATTTATTTAACAGTGTCAGTGATGTCTGAATAATCAACCGAGTGACAACAGCATAACTTATCATTCTAGTCGATTAACTGAATAAACATTACGTTTGGCGGCTCAAACGTTACACGTTTGATATTTAATCACGCAGAGTGAACCGTGCCAGTTCTGACAAAAGGGAGCTTACGAATCGACGACTTTCGGACGACGGCGCCGTTGGGTCACCTTATAGTCTCGCGTCGTCGTCCTGTAGAAATTTGAATTTACGATTCGCA